ATTATATACATATGTATATATTATATACACACAGGGCCTGGGAACCCTGGTGGTGTAATGGTTAAGAGCTACATCTGCTAACCAAAAGGTCAGCAGTTCGAATCTACCAGGCACTCCTTGGAAACTCTATGGGGCAGTTCTGCTCTGTCCTATAGGGTTGCTATGAGTTGGAATGGACTCAACGGAAATGGGTTTGGTTTTTTTTATGGAGCCCTGGTGGCGCAGTGGTTAAGAGCTTGGCTGCTAACCAAAAGGTCTCCAGTTCGAATCCACCAGCTGCTCCTTGGAAACCCTATGGGACAGTTCTATTCTGTCGTATAGGGTGGCTATAAGTCGGAATCAACTCAATGGCAACAGGTTTTGATATACAAATAAAATATAGGAAACGTCTGTGTGTCTAAGTGTCTCTACTGATCGTTTTCTTATGCTTAAATAACCAGCATTTCTGTCTAATAATACCACACTGACAACTGTACTTTTTAATATAGTTGCTGTTGTTGTTGTTAGGTGCCATCCAGTCAGTTCCCACTCATAGCAACCCTATGTACAACAGAACGAAACACTGCCTGGTCCTGGGCCATCCTCACAATCATTGCTATGTTTGAATCCACTGTTGCAGCCACTGTGTCAGTCCATCTTGTTGAGGGTCTTCCTCATTTTCACTGACTCTCAATTTACCGAGAATGATATCCTACTCCAGGGACTGGTTCCTTCCGATAACACGTCCAAAATCCTAGACAAAGTCTCGCCATCCTTGCTTCTAAGGAGCATTCCGGCTGTACTTACTCCAAGACAGATTTGTTTATTCTTCTAGCAGTCCATGGTATATTCAGTAGTCTTCACCAATACCAAATTCCAAAGCATCAATTCTTCCTCGGTCTTCCATATTCATTGCCCAGCTTTTGCAAGCATATGAGGTGACTGAAAATGCCATGGCTTGGGTCAGGCGCATCTTAGTCCTCAAAGTGACATCTTCGTTTTTAAACACTTTAAAGAGGTCTTTTGCAGCATATTTGCCCAATGCAATACATCATTTGAGTTCCTGACTGCTGTTTCCGTGGGCATTGATTGTGGATCCAAGTAAAATGAAATCCTCGACAACTTTAACCTTTTCTCTGTTTATTATGATGTTGCTTATTGGTCCAGTTGTGAAGATTTTTGTTTTCTTTATGTTGCGGTATAATCCATACTGAAGGCTGTAAGTCTTTGATCTTCATCAGTAAGTACTTCAAGTCCTCTTTGTTTTCAGCAAGTAAGGTTTTAGCATCTGCATATCACAGGTTGTTAATGAATCTTCCTCCAATCCTGATGTCATATTCTTCTTCATATAGTCCAGCTTCTTGGATTATCTGCTCAGCATACAGATTGAATAAGTATGGTGAAAGGACACAACCCTGACAAACACCTTTCCTGATTTTAAACCACACAGCATCCCCTTGTTCTGTTCAACCCACTGCCTCTTGGTTTACATACAGGTTCCTCAAGAGCACAATTAAGTGTTCTGGAATTCCCACTCTGCACAATGTTATCCATAATTTGTTATGGTCCACACAGTCGAATGCCTTTGCATAGTCAATAAAACAAAGGTAAACATCTTTCTGGTATTTAATATAATTCATTTTAATTTCTGATAGAACATTCCTTATCATCTTCTTTTAAGAAATACTGACTAGTACTGCTCATTCTTCCATATGAATTTTGCAATCATTCTGTCAAGTTCTCAAAATGTAACAGTCAATAAATTATGTAGACAATCGGGAAAAAAAAATGTTTATATCCCTATCAAATACCTTATACCAAAAGAATTTTCAGATCAAATATATAAAAAAGTCATAAAACACTAGAAGAAAATAAGTGGATCTTATAATGGGTTGAATGGTGTCCTCCAAAGATACAAGGTCCTGACCCCTGGAAGCTGTGCAGGTTATGTTAAATGGTAATGTTTTTTGCAGATATGATTAAGAATCTTGAGATGAGAGATTCTGGATTATCCAGGTGGATACTAAATGCCATCACATGTGTCCTTATAAGGAAGAAGCAAAGGGAGATTTGACATGGGCAGAAACAAAGATAATGTGAAGATGGTACAGAGAGAGATTTGAAGGTGTTAGTGATGTGGCCACAAGCCAAAAAATGCCAGCAGCTGCCAGAAGCTAAAAGAAGCAAGGAACGGATTCCCCCCATAGCCTCCAGAGGGAGTAAGGCCCTGCCAACACCTTGATTTCAAACTTCTATCCTCCAAGACTTCGAGAGACTAAATTTCTGTTGTTTTAAGCCACCTAGTTTGTGGTGATTTGTTACAGCAGCTACAGGAAACTATTATAGATTTTAATCTTCGTTTAGGTAAGGCTTCATGGACATTCTGACTGAGATTATGTTGAAATGTATAGATTATTTTGGAGAACTGATAGCTTTATATTATTGATTCTTCCTGACCATAAGACACAGTTTGTCTTTCCATTTATACAAGTCTCTTCTCATTCCCTCAGTATATGTGGAAAG